GGTTTGTCTAAAGGAAGATCCTTCGGACTGAAGAACAATTTAAGCAACTAGTTTTATACTCCAAGTTGACAAATTCATTTTTTTGCTTAAATGTTTCCTGATTTCCAACAATCCAAAATATGTGTGCATAACTTTTTTCTTTTTGAAATATTTTGTCAGTCATTGGTGTCAGATCCTGATCATACCTACTTATCAATAGCAACCCCAATTCTGTCTCAAGCATTCTTGGTCTCAACTCGACTTTCACGTTACACTATACAGAAGGTAAAGGCTATCAGTGCTGAAGTTGTGGAGATCGTTGAGCCTCCAAAAGAAGGATATCAGCTGACTATACGACTCAATTTTGCTAGAATGCCGCATGGTAAAGGTTTGGAACTCCTCTCATCAACTCTCCCCCCCCCACCCCTTTATTGTGTTTTAGAAACATCTCAGAAGCAGAATAATAGATCAGGCAATAAACAATTAAATGTGGCACCACAAGTGAAAACAATAACAAATTAAAGTGGTCAGCTACTGCCACTTTGTTATGGTGATGATAAGATATAAACTGAGCCTTGTTATGGTGATGATAAGATATAAACTGAGCCATCAATAGTGGAACCAAATTGAATTTCTTTCAATTACTACTTTGATAGCATTCCACACTGCAGCGGTGCTCATTAATTTGTGTTGTTTTGTGTTCTTTTCAGAGTCTATAAAAATGATCACAGACATTGCTGCTGTGCAAGGTGTAATTCTGAGTTCTCAGCTGGAAGAAATGCTGATGAATGTGAATTCACAAGATGTGGCTCAAGGGATGTACAAACCAATTAAACTTGTTTATCACCCAAGAGAGCCATTTTATGTCATAAAACAGGTACTTCACATTATGTGATACTTTGTTTAATCACCTCATAACTGAATATACAATTTCAAATTTAAGGACAAGTAAATGAACACACTATGCAGATAAGTAGCTCTGCCCAATATAAGACTAGCTCAGTTATCATTACCTTGGCAGTAGTTGATCCTCATTGGCCGAACATCAGTAGAGGGATTAAAATGCAATATGGGGCAGCCATAAATGCTGAAGCCCTTTCTGAGAAACAATTAGTTTATTTGGCATGCAGGTAGCAATACTCAAAACAATGTTCCAAAAAGTGACAAAATTATACTACAAATGGAAGAGAAATTAAAAATTAAAGTGAGAACATATTTTCCGAAACCATCAAATTTCAAGACCATTTCAGACTTTAATATCTGCAGAGTGATTATTCTTCAAACCATCAAACGAAAAGTCTTACCGTCTTGGATTGCAAACTCTACTTGCAGTAAACATACAAATTGCAAACATTATATTCACAATTATACCGGAAGTACACACCTTTTCTCATGCCAATTCAGGAAGCTGTGAAGGAAGAACAGGTTGCAGGCACTTTTTAACAAGGCACTAGAAGCATGTTTTAGATCAAATTATAAACTACGCCATATAATACTTCCAAACTACTGCGTATAGCTACTGCATTATGCTAAGTTAAAAAATATGGCACATGAATAGCAACTATATGATTGACTCTGGAACTCTGGTTTAAATTGGCATATTTAAAGGAACTTGAATGAAGAGAAATAATTGTACAAAAAATGTAGAGATAAATTCCGTCCAAAAATATGAGATTTGTTTGAGAGAATACAGCCTCATGCTTCTTAATATGTAAACTTTACATTTGTGACAGCCCCAGAAAATCACGGCAGTATTCCCAATGCGTTTTAAGGAGAAGACAGATGTGATTATAGCAACAACTTTCTTCCAGGTAACACAATTTTATAACATGTACGACTTTGTAATTTTATAGCATGCATGACTTTGTTCAAGTGTCCAGGACATTGACAATTTCCGCAGCAGGAACTCATGGATGTTGCAAATACAAAAGCATGTGCCAAGGCACCCCATTGCATCTGGTCCCCTATTCCACCTCCTGAGTTAAGAGGAGAAGCAATTGAAGACTTAAGCACAAACGGAGGATTTGTCTCTTTTGGTATCTTCTATTAACAACTCACGCATATACACAAATTACTGTTTCTTTCAAATAAATGAAACATTTGATAAGGGCAAAAGAAAAATATTAATATTACTTCAGCTTTGGAGAAATAAAACAGACTCCAAGAGCCTCCTAAACATGAGTAATGATTTGAAACAAACATTAAAGAAGAGTAGAGATCTACTTGTAAGCTCAGAAGATACATACATTGGTGTTCACCTGCATTCTCTAAATCTTGGATTGGAGATGGCCTGATATTTACCTTTTTATCATGGCATTCACAGATATCACTTCGCGCCATATTGAAGGCAAAAGGCTAGACAAGACAGTGTGGAACCTTCTGAACTTTTACGCATTTGTGAAAAATCATGTAAAGGTAAAAACCCTTTAAGCATGATAGCATTATAGCTATTAACATCTTATGCCTATTTCTGCATCAAACAGAGCACTCGAGGATTCATACAAAGAAGGATGAGAACATGTCTGAAGAGCCTGGTTGAGGTAAGGAAATAGATCAAATAATCATCATGAAGTATAAACAGTAGAACCTCTCTTACTCTCTGCACTCTGAGATGTCAATTTTGCAAAAATACACAGCGATGAACTACTATATGATTGCAACTTGTAGGTCTTACAGAAAACAGGACCTCAAGATGAGCAACAGATTAAAGAGGTGAAAGGTATGAACCTTTGATTTGAGGTTAACATATTTTTGAATAGAAAACCTAAAGAGAAACTAACAATCAAATACAGTACGACAGGATTTATGATGTTTATGCACATATAATAGAAGCAAAGACACACAGAGATTCTGTGAATTTATCATAGGTTTCATAATGAAAGATCATTCATTCTATTAGCTTGGAGCCACTTACCTTTCATATTAGTACTTTTTTTTCCCACTGTTTTTCTAACTCTCTACATCCTTTTTCTTTTACTTTCTGCTCACTATTTCCCAAACAACATTCATGCAGGATACAAGCGCATGAAAAAGTTGGTAAAGTTCACAAAATTCAAAATAATCAGATATAGAAGTGATTTCACCAGTAAACTTAAGAGGATTCGTTCGAGATTGAAAATCCACGGGTTCAACCGTTTTCGTCGAAAATGGTTGACATTCCCCATCTTTTCCTCCAAGACAAAATACAGAAAGCTGGAAAAAGATATTTCTCTTCAACACAATTAATAGATTTTGCTTATGGTCAGAGTTTTCCTGAAAAGGGTCAAACATATCCTTTAATCAGGACAGTTGTTACAATCTAGCATGTAAAACACCTTTGTATTTGTCACTTTATCAAATGTTGGTAATACATATAGATACCCGTGTACTATGTTGTAAAAATATTAAGCACAATAAACAAGTTGGCTAGCAGTTGTTTTATACTTCTACCAAAGATTAAACCCAGATTTGCATATTACTCTAGCTGTTAAGCAAGAAAATTCCTTTTCTATTTGATGATCAACAGTTTGAAGGTGATTATTTCATGCAACTGTCCATTAACATTATGTGTTACTTGAGCCAGGGTCTTACGGAAACAGCCTCTCTACCTCCATGAGGTAGGGTTAAGGTCTGTGACTGATAAACACATTTATGAAGTGAAAGCTTCGTAAAAGTGGGCCTCAGGAATGCAAAAGAAGCCTATGGGGGAGTTTAGGCTAATGTTTGCTTTAAAGTTGGTGACTGAATGAGATCAGATTCTGATTTCTGACAGAACCAGTGGTTGCGCCATATGCCTCACAATAATGAATTTGCATATATTCTAGTATTGCCATAAATGCAGAAGCCACCATTGCCCAGTGCAAAGAAAATGCAAGATGGAATATTAGCTTTAGAAGAGACTTTCATGATTGGGAGGCAAAAGGCTGATTTTGTTGCTAAAAAGTTGGAGGAAGGTGGCAGTATAGCAGGGAGGTCAGATCATTTATAGCAATAGCATACAACAACAACAACAACATACCCAGGGAATTTATAGCAATAACATATTAACCAAAAAATAAAGATTCAATCTAAGAGAGCTGAGAAAGAATGAAAGTGAAAAACTTTGGAAGAATATAAAGGCCCTAAAAAGTATTCTGTTAGGAAGGATTGATATGCCTGAAGCTTGTCTAACACAAGAAAATCTAAAGAGAAGGGGATTGTTTTTGCATAAAAATGCCAAGGAGTTCAGGGATTATATTTGCATAACAAATGCTAAGGGGTTTATGGGATTATATTCGTGTAAGAGATACTACTTCTGTGATCTGGATACTTAAGACTAAAATCACTTGACTTTGCATTGTACAATGCAACATATATGCTTTAAAAGAATTTGGGCAACAGTGATGATACTAAGAACCCAAAGTCCCCAAAGCAGCTTTCTGAAGCTGGTCTAGAAAAAACCGTGGTAGGAATGCAAAAAACATGGTTCACTCATTGCTGTTCCCTGTTTGCATTGTATGAACTCTTCAGGAGAAGAACCCCAGATGGTTTGGAGGAAAATCTAATCATCCTTATAGCATCAAGACTTTCTGTCTTTGTTTGTTTGGTATAATTTTCATTTGCAGATAATGTAAATGAAGTTTTAGATTTCATAGGCACTCTACATCTGTAACAGAGATGGCCTTGCTTCTTTTGTAATTGACAGCAGTCCTTAGTCCAAAAATAAAAATACCTACTTTTTTTTTCTAATTTAGTACAAAGATACTTTAAAGACAAGTACGGAGCTTGATTGATTCGAAGAGTTCTTTCTTTGGCCACCAGCATTTTGCCATTAACAATCAGATGAATATAGAAATATAGAAAGACAACAATAATATAATGAACTGTATAAACTCTCCTTTCATTCAATAGTAAGGTACATTGGAAAAGACAGAAGATCAAGAAAACCAAAAGGCTAGAATTTCCTCTATAGTATAAAAAACATCTGTAAATTCAAAACTTACAAGGAAACCACTTCTGCAGTTTCTTTCAAATGCTTCTCGATCAAAGACATCCGAAGTTTCTCATTCTAACTCTAATTCAGGAAGCGGACGCATCAACACACCCTCTGATCCAACCTCTGTTAGCAACGGTCCACTTGTATCGCCACATCTCATTCTCTTATCCCGATTCAACAACGCAAACAACCCAAAACTCATGATCATCACCACAACAGCATGCACTATAAACAACAGATTCATCAATGCTGTTCCCCTCAACTTATTCTCCTCAAGATCACATTTAACATCATTTTTCCCCTTTGATAAACCCACCAAAAGATTCTCACATCCATCTAGTGAAAACATATCAGTATATAACGACAACCCAACTTGCAAAACCCAAGTCCCTTTCAACACAAGTACACAGGAAAACAAAAACTCCACAAAAAACAAAGATGGCTTTACTGCTAAACACAAGCAACAACCACCACAAACAAATGCTAATTCCCCCAAATGTCCATACATACCACCACTAACACCAACAAGTCCTTTCCCATTCATCAAGAATTCAACAGCAAAACAAACACCAGCAAAACTGTAAACCAAACTATCAAGAATTGCATAAAGATCAAAACTTTCTTTAACAACAATAAGAATCAAGAACACCCAGAAGAAGAAAATGACTAGAGATTGCTGCAAGAATGAGAATTTATACATTACATTGTTCCCTGAGAAAGCTAAGAACAGAAATGCATGAGAGAAAGAGGCAATAGGTAGAATGATTAAAAGGGAGTATAAATCAAGATTTTTCCATCTGGGTTCTGAGAAATACCATGTTTTTGATCTATAGAGTGATGGGTTTTTGAGGTAATTGCAGATGCAACAAAGAAGACGATGAATACCAACTGTTAAAAGGATAACAAATGCTGAAAAATGGGTAGCTAATGACATCTCAAATGAGACAATTTTGGATCTTTTTTTAAGGGATTTTGATGAGATTAAGGAGAAATGGAAGATTGTTTCAAGTTCATCAATGGTGATGAGTGTTTTAGTAAAAGTCAATACCTGAAAAATCCCAAACGCCGGCTGCTGGCAAGAAAGGACCAAAAAGGAGAAAGAAAGCATGAAAAATGAAGAAGTGTTTATTTTTAACGGATACCCCTAAGTTTGTTGTTTGTTACATTGAACCCCTATAGTCAACTTCGTAAATTTGCCAACAAATTTTATTTAGACACTAGAACTACTTTCTGTTCCAGTTGAACACTTGAACACGCGATGATGTATTATAATTATATTTTTTTTATTCAAATTTTGAAAATTGTATGTGTGTGTTGTCAAGAGTCTATTATGTAGTTAAGTTAATCACATTAAATATTTATGTCTTTCGATGCATTAACCTCAATTAGAAAACATCTAGGGTTTTACGATTTATTGAGGCAAATGTATGTAATTAAAGGAGATGATATATTTTATGTGATTAACTTACGTACAAAGTTTTTCCAAAGTTTGAAGCAGAAGTGTTTGATTGGAGCATTTTATTATATGTTTAAGTGTTCTAATTCGAATATCTAAGTGAAATTTGAGGGGAAAGTCCCTCCAATTTTGGTTGGTTCCCACCAAAATTGGTTAAATTAGGTTTTAGTCATTTACCCTTTTACCCCTCATTTAATTCGATGGACCAAACTGCCAACTTATAAACTTGAGGGCAACTCCACAATCCTTAATCGTTAATCACATAATTGTCACCCACACTCAATAATTAAGACTTATGTCACCGCCCCGTTATTTTGATACCTTAATGTCACCTTTAATTCAAAGCCCCTTGTAGGTTTCTAATGGAGGAAAGGTTCAAAATAGTCCCTCATCTTTGGGTTAAGGTTCAAAGTCATCCTTGAGTTTTCACATGGAACATTAATAGTCCCTCATGTTTGCAATATTGGTGCACTTTTGGTCCTCCTCAAAAAATTTGCCTATTTTTTAACATTAATTTTGTCCACAATTTTATGTAAGGAATGTTCAATCGTCTTTTTATATATTTAGTAGAAATAATAACTCCATATGAGAGAATGTAAGAATAAAAACATCTTGTTTTGTTAAGTAGAAATTGTATTGCAGGTAAAGTCGAGAGGTTCATCACAATAATTTCACGTGCAATAGTACAAATTTTTTTCTTTTCTTCCAACGTCATATGTTAAGATGTTCTTAGTTTAGTTGCAGTAATATTTCTACTGAACAGAACAATGTGTTCTTCTTATCATCTTCTCTCACATAAAGTTATTATTTATACTAAATATATAGAAAGACGATTGGACATTTCTTATATAAAATTGTGGACAAAATTAATGTTAAAAAATAGGCAAATTTTTTGAGGAGGACCAAAAGTGCACCAATATTGCAAACATGAGGGACTATTAGTGCTTCATGTGAAAACTCAAGGATGACTTTGAGCCTTAATTCAAAGATGAGAGACTATTTTGAGTCTTTCCTCGAAATTTGATAGCAAGTTTAAGACATTGACTATATATTTAAGTCCTTTTCTTTTTGTTCTTTTGCCGTTTATAAGTATTAGAGGTATTTTTAAGTAAAATTATTTTTATAAAATTAAATATTATTATTATTATTATTATTATTTTATCATATAAAAAATCAAGAATGATCCATGGGTAACACAACCATTTATAGCTTACTCATTTGAGGTTTGTTTTTTTTCTTTTTAAATAAAAAATAAAAAATGAGAAGTCTTATTTTCTGGGGCATTCATATATTTTTAATTGCGGAATCTCAGCTATATTTATCCATACATGTATTTGATTGAAATTATATTGAAAAGAAAAAAGTTCATCAATTCAAGAAAACAAATTGTAATATCAGAGGCGTTTAAATGTCACAACAATCATAATTATATAGTTTGTGATATAAACAACTTGAATAATATGATTCAAACAAATAACAATACAAAAGTAATAATTGAATAAAAATATAATTAATAACGTTTAAATTATCTATTATTCACTTTACATGTTAGTAATGATAAATCTTAAAATATTTGATGTTCCCTAAAATATTCTAGTTAAATAACTATTTACAAATAATTTTTATTTCAATTCTTTGATTTATGACACTTTAACTCATCAATTTACATAAAAGATGATGCTAAACTATTATATATGTATGCCTCAAAATTTCTATCTCCAATTATAAATAGAACTAAACGAGCAATTATATTATTAATTTTTTTGACTTATAAATCATTGTGTTTGAATATGACTCTTTATATCATTCCTTAAAATTTTCAACATGCAAAAAGGATCCTTCTTGGAAAACCATGACTTATTCCTATTTTGACATGGATAAACAATTGGTTGGAGTTATCAAAATAATTATACAAAGAAAATATAATATAATTTATTATCATCATAAATTGCTATATAGATAAAATACAGTGTTATCTATTGATACAAAAGTGAGCCTGACTCAGTTGGTCTAGTCTTTCAATTCCTCGGATTGTTGCGAGTTCAAATTTCCAGAAAGCTTCTTTTTTTTCATATACATTTTAGGAGCTTCAAATTGTTTGATATATTTTCTTTTCTTCTTTTGTTTTTTATTTTTTCTTCTCTTGATATTTTATAATAATAAAAAATATTCAACACTATTATTTTTAATGAAATTATTTTCAAAATGAAAATTTAAGTTAATATATTTTTTTATTTTACTTTTTGAAAAAGATATATAATAGTATACGTGATTATTAAAAGGTGACACGGCTTGCAAAAAATTTCTGTGTACACCACTGATTGTATTGTACTTTGATGGTGTATTTAGTATGGATATATTTTTGTAATTAAAATTAGATTTCATTGAATATTTAGATTCTGATATTATAATTCAAACTTGATTCTTAATTTAATAAGGTTTAATATATATTATGTAAATCTGTTGGAGTAATATTTTACAATATTAAAATAATATTGAAGTTGTTTTATATTTAATTTATCCTATTTTGATTGATGACATTTGTGTTTTTTACTTTCATTAATTGTGGTAGAATGTGGTCATTAGTTGTTAGTAGTTTTTGTAACTTTTAACACATTATTATTTATTTCTCTGATTATTCTACCTCATTATATCTTGTAACTCATGTAACCTCTAGGCCATTTACCTACCCAATTAAGTACCATCGTTATCTTCTTATTCATTGCATAGAAGTTTCGGTGATTGTCTAGAAAGCCAAGTAGGCATGTCTCATTTGACAAACAATATTAAGTTGCTTCTATGGAAGCTTCATTAAGACATTGTCACATACTGTTATATTAACGGCTGGAAATTCTTATTTGAATGCATCAAATATGAAACAAGAAAAACATTTATGACTTTACAAAATACAAAATCAAATTTCCCACCTTGAGTCAAAATTATATATTTGTCTTCAAACATTTTTGCACCGTTCAATTATTGTCCACTAATTGCATGCCATAGCATTCCAAGTTGTTTGGATCCTTTAAAATTTCGTGTATAATTCAGAACCATATAGGTTCAAAACATGGCTTAAAATCACGCAATTATGTTGCGATGGTTGGGATCCCTTCAATCTTAATCAAACGTTTCGAGTTTGAATCCATGCGAATGAAAAAAATCATGTTGGGAGCGGTACACTCAAAAATAAATCATGTAATGCGTGAATCTAAATTTAGTCGAGACTCTAATACAAATACTGGGCATCTAGTGAGAAACTAAAAAATAACAACCTATAAAAATAGTCACTTTTAATTTTATGTGGATTTCCCAAAATTTATGATGCAAAAATACATTCAACGAGAAAAAAAAGTTCAAGCTCCAAAATTAAAAAAAATAAAATCAATTGATCAAAAGGGCACCACTTGGCATATGGATATGATCGAGATTACAATGGTAGACCCTACATGAAGAATGAACCACTAGAATAGAAGATACAGATCTCCAAACTGATGGGATCTAAACGATAAAGTTGTCTTCATGTGACGTATACAATAAAGAGATGGTAAAGTTATCTTCTTGTGACGTATAGATTACAACAAAGAGATATTTAGTAACAATGGATTTTTCTCTTTAGCTACAATATTTATTACCACAAAAACATTTAGCAGCACTTGAGTTAATTATATATCATTATATCCAGAATCACTAAAGCATTTAGCAATATTAATATAGAGTGTTGGTTACAAATACTCTATTTATAATTACCGCAAAATCCATTATATGTTGTAGTGATATCATATTTACATTAGGGCACACCCATCAATGCAACACTATTCGAACCATATTAATGCAAAATATTTCGTGCATCAGATTATTATTTTTCAAAAAAATAAAATAGAATATGTGGACCATTAAAGAAACAAGAAGAATTTTACTCCTATTATTCAAGTAAAATAGAAAAACCAAAGTCCAACAAAAAGAAAAAACAATCAAAAGCCAGCAAGTACAATTGTGTGGCTCTAAATTTGCCTCTTCATTACCACTCAAAATATAAACCAAACTAAAAGGCTACAAAATTTACAACAACAACCTACTTTCATAAACCACACAAAAAAAATCTTATAACATAAGCTTAAAGACACACATCCACCACAACAACAAAAAAACCCTTAGCTCCATTATCACTTCAACATTCAAAAATATTATTACTACTACTAGTTGTAATTATTATTTTTTGAATGGCAATTACAAGTTCAATTGCAACAACTTCATTTTCTTCATGTGTTGGTGGTGAAGATTATGGTATGTTTATGAAGAAAGTGCAACCATTAATGAATGTTAAAATTGGAAAGGCAGTGAGATCAAGGACAATGATGGGGAATGTTAATGATGGAAAAGGATTATTTGCACCAATTGTTGTTGTCACTAGGAATATTGTTGGCAAAAAAAGATTCAATCAACTTAGGGGCAAAGCTATTGCTTTACACTCTCAGGTAATTTATCATTTACTAGGTATCTGTTATTATCCATCAGTATAGATACCGTATAATTTTAAATGTCTATCGAGTGCAGATGAGCAGAAATCACCTATCGTGTTTTTTTTTATTATTGAAGAAATTTTAATATCGATCTTTTATGTTTTTCATCCATTTTATTGATTACTAACCAACATAGATACGGGATAACTCTGCTTGTTTACTAAGTGAAGATGGGATGAAATTATCTACTAACAATTTTTGTCTTTGCTTATATTGTTTTTGGGTAGATTTAGTCTTTCTTTAGTGTTGATATTATTGAATATGATCTATCAAATTTCTAATTTGGGGATAAAGTCAATAAAAATATCAAAAATATTTGGTGAAAAATGATGAATTATAAATTAATTTCAACATTAAAACATTATGTGATGTTCAAATTGAGAATTAGATATATAATTTGAGTCTATTTGGACTGATTTTGGATTTATGGCAAGAATTTTGAGGTGTTATGTATTTAAAATTATTAAATCTAAATATAATATTAAGTCTAAGCAAAGAGGCTTTAGTTCTCAAATTCTAATATTATTGTTCTAAACAAGTAGGTTAAGCTTTTCAATGTTGGATTTGACTAATAAATGTCCAGTAATATTAAATTTAATTCATTTACTTTTTAAAAGTAAACTTGAAAACTATTATAAAAAGTAAACAAACTCATACAATTCATAAAAGATTTTATAGAGGACAATTTGTTAGTATATTTCTCAAGTTAAATGTGGTATTTGAGTCTCCAAAAAGGATAAAGGCCAAGAGGTCACAATTTGAATGGCAATATCAACCACCCATAGTAGTGATGGGCTTGTAAGTAACCCCCCCCCCTCCACCCGCCTTCCTCC